AGACGGATCTTACGGGGCAAGAGAGAGACTGTAATAAGACCTAGGGAAGGAGGACTGCGTAACAATATGGTAGACTATTATCAGCATTCTCAGCACAAGGGTAAATGGAGTGAGAACGACAGCGTGGAGTGTGAAGGGTTTTCATGAATGCCGCTCGAAGGAGCAAGCCACACTACAGCTAAATAGGCACGGTCTGGATAGTTATGAATACTGCTCAAAAGGGCACACCAAGCTACATTTAAGTAAGCACGGTATAAATTATAACAGTGAAGGCGTTATAGGAGGATATAGGAAATGTGAAAAGACCCGGGCAGAAGTGGAGATATCACAACTGTTTAGCACACGTTTGGTCAAAGGATTGGCGTTACTTGCCTTTTGACGAGTTCTTGTGTGGTGCTAAGAATTGCGAGACTCACTGGCGATGCCGGTGAAAATTCTGAGAATGTATCAAGTACACGGTCCGACTGCAAATGATCATACATACACTGGACTCCGGACTATATGCGTTTCTCTTAGTCTTCCTACCAATATGACCAAGTTGCGAAAATAAGGTCAAACAACTTCTATACAACGAAAGGCCACTGTGCCCACACCATCTTGGTCTTCATACCTTCGATTAAGGAGGGATAGTTCGCAATGACGTTGAGTTTTCAGACTTAAATAATATAGAATATATGTGATTAAAAAATACAAGGAAATCTAATAATAGCTAAGAGCTAGGGGAGTTATAAAAGAGCTGGAAAAAATAGTACAAGAAATAATAGGGCTAAGGTATCTAAATAAAACATTTTCGTAGTCGATATTTGTGCCAAGGACAACAATTACTTAGTTTAGTCGATAAACGCACGATTTTAAGGTTCTTGCTGAATCAGATATATCATTTATGGCATTGTTTAGCAAGCATCGGAGTTCGATATAAAATATTTAACAGGACGTTTGAATATTTAAGCAGCCTTTAATGTAATATAATCCTTCCCCATTCAAGGTCATACAATTGTCCCAAAAAAGGACAATACTAAAGTAGTGCCCTGCAGGTATACAATAGGGTCAAAAAACGAATAGAAAATAGAAAATTCATTCACTTATACACTTTAAAAACAAAAAATGATCATGCACTAATATATATAGATAGCGCACAAGAAAGCCAACCAGATACAGATAATACAAGCACAATTTGCTTTAGCTTTCTAAAAAATATTAGCAATAGATTTATCGTACACGAATTAATTATTTTTTAAAATCCTCGTCAAATTGACAGATCTGGTTTCAAAATAACAATTAAGAGTCGGAAGGCCGTAAGAGTGCTTTTTAACGGGAATCATGTCATAAAAATAGAGTAATTAATAGTAATAAGTGATAATTTTGCATTGTAAATCTAACTAACACTTTCATATAAATATGAAATTACCGTAAATCAAATAAAAAATACCTTTAGCAGGGGATTCTTCAGAGCATAATAAAAACCGACACCGTCATCACCGAATTGGCCAGCCAGGTATAAACCAAAAGATCCGTACTTGTCATATATTTCCTTTTTGGCATCGTCAGATAGGACCATATTTGCTTTATTAATTTCTTTGAACTGTTATGACCTAGGTAATTAAAAATAATGAACTACTTTATCAGCGGCCTCGGGATCGCCAGGATTTTTATCTGGATGGCATTTTAAAGCTAGCTATAGCAAAAAATAATCAAATCAACATTTTACTTTTCGATATGCTCGCTTTATTTCATCTTGGGAAGCTCCTTTAGATAAACCAAGGGAATTGTAAAGAGTCTCGCCATCGCGTCTAAGGAAATATATTTGAGCTAATCATGGATTTACGATAGCTTCCTTCCATCAACTCCCTTCATACTATTTCTTTTTGAAGTAGAAGCTGTAGGTTCTTGAGCCATGCATAAAATAAGATTTTAAAATGACGCTCCCAAAAAAAGATTCACAAACAGGCTTTGGCAAACGGTCGACCCGGGCTGGCTGAATAAAGCTATACTAATAGTATAAACTAAAATCGTAGAACAAAGTTTTGAGCTTAATAGAGAGTATCATAAAATATAAATAAAGTTATGCAACAAAAATGGTTATTTATTTAAAATAAAATATGTTACTTTGTATATATAGTTTTAGATACAGTCTAGATAACATAAATCACAGTATACTATTTATTAAAAAATACTTCTTGGGGATTTTTTAATCAGACGAGCTGCATGAGACGG